CTTTCTGTATGTAAGGCACAGTTGTATATCTCATTGTTACAAAAAATAGTCTGCTTTACTTATGCTTGTCTGTTATAGCTTAAATATTTTATATTCATCCAACTGTCTAGATCTTTGCTCATATTCTTATCTGGAATTTTCTTCTTTACACTCTGATCCCCTTATAATAAAAATATTTTATTATAAGAACTTTTATAACAAAAATAACAAACTCAGCATATTGCACACATGCTTAAAGAAAGCACAAGCCACCTGTCATCCCACAATACAGACAACGTAGGTATCTGAATATTTTGACTCGTTTTATCCTCATTTGGTTTTTTTGTGTTGGTAAGAAGTATACACTTTAAATTTTTAACATGTTCTAAATAGCTATCCAGCGGAAAGTAATTGTACTCTCCTTTTGAACCTTAGTCATTGGTTCCTCTCACTAGGGACAGTCACTGTTACTAATTTTGTGTGCCCATCAGAGATATTCTATAAATTTACCAGCTTTTTCTTATTTTTCCCCCCCACAGTGTAATGTCCTGCACCTTACTCTTTTCACTTAAAGTGTATCTTAGAAGTTACTCTATATCCGTGTATAAAGCAGTTTTTTAGATTCACAGTATTATGATATATTAATGTTCCATAATTTATGTCCTTTGATTGTAATCTTTTGCCCTTACAAATATTGCTAGGTATGTAGGATGGATTCCTAGATGTGGAATTGCTGGGTCAAAGGCTGTAAGTGTGTTTAGTTTTGATAGTTCCTGCCTCCTAAGAGATTATTCCAGATTCCACTATCACCAGCAAAGTGTGAGAGTTCCCCTCAGCGTCTCCAACTCTTTGTTATCCCACAGTAAGCCCTTTGCCATCTGACAAAATGGCATCTCTTATGAATGAGTGAGCTTTTTATATATTTAAGAGCTGTTTGATTATTTTTTTTTCTATAAACGTTCTTTTTTTATTTTGGGGAGATGAGGCTTGATCTTCCTTACTCATTTGTAGAAAATCTTTAACATACTAGAGAGATTTTTGCATTTAATACAAATATTTGTAATTCATACATCATGTATCTATTTTCACTTTTTCCCATGCAAGTACATACCTGTGATCATTTTTCACCCCATGTTTTTCCTCCTCTTGACTGCTATGGTACTTAATCTTGTTTGTGACCAGTCATTATGGTCCTTTACTTTCCATAACTATATTTCTTATTGAGATCAAGAGATCTGA